CCAAGGTGCAGAAGGGCCGGTGCCTGTGCTCGTAGGGGCAGGGCTGGGGAGAGCAGGGGGCTGTGGGCCAGGAGTGAGGGGCACCAGCAGGACTGGGGGCTGTGGCTTGGGAGTGAGGGGCATCAGGAGGGGAGGGGGTCTGTGGGTTGGGAGGATGAGGCCCTGCCCGTGCCAGGGGGTTACAGGTTGGGAGTGAGGGACACCAGCATGGCTCAGAGGGGCAGGGTACTGTTGTTTGGCAGGGCTGGGGGCTGGGGGTCAGGCTGGCAGGGGGGGCTGTGGCTTGGGAGAGAGGGGCAACAAAATGGGCAGAGGCCAAGCACAGGCATATCACTGCCTTCCCACAGTCATATACCCCTCCCTCCTCCCGCGTGACCGGTGTCCTTTCTTTGGAACTGGAAATACGGTAACCTAACCGTAAGGTACAGCAGCCCAGGAGTTTCTAGGCAACAGTCACAGCCAGTTCACAAGAGCACACGCATGGTTTTGCACTGAGGTTCAGAGGAGCCGGGAGATGTTTCACACCAAGTCGTAGCACGGGTGCTTCAAAAGAGTTGGGGCAGTGGGTAGTCTACACCAGTATTTGTCTGATTTTCACCTGTTTGAGGCCATCACCACCATGTGAGTTGAGGGGGGAAATGACAGTGTAGCAGCTACTGTTATCACTTATCATTTATTACTGTAGTGCCAACTCAACAGCAGGTCCACCAGTCTCCTTCATACCTATCAAACCCAGAAATGAAGATGCCGAGGGCATTTCCTCAGTTTATTGTCACTTCGTTTATACCAGGAGCAAACGGTTGCCATGCTTTATCCCAGAAGTGGATGCATTTCAGCACTGAATGTGATTTCTGCATGACAAGTTTGCAAATCCCTTTAGGATCTGATTGAAAGGCCCCAAAGGAATGCAGTATTTTATATTTTCAATGTTTGCTGAAAACCTCCGAACCTTCAAACAATCAGAAAACCTTGGCACAGGATGAAAACTAGGCTTTCTAAAATTAGGAATAACACTGGGCTGCGTGGGCAGCCAGGAGAAGGGAATTTCCTACTTGTCCTTCTGATTCACTGAAACTGAACTGTGATGTACTGCTTGCTCTCTCGAAACCAAGTTTCACTTTTGAGTCACTGCTCTCCACCTAAGAAGAAAAGAAGGTCTGTAAGGGGCTGCTAGCAAGACGTCAGTTAAAGATTGGGGATATGCCAGAGAGGAGAAATGCACACTAGTGCAGTTACAACAACAGGCAGGCCTATGAGCAGCCATGGAGGTCAGATATGAGAGGATGCAGTGGCTGTGCCTGTCTCCGCTTTCATATTAATCCTGCTTCATCTTGCAGGTTCTTAGTGCTTGGTGCTATTGGCCTACTAGGACAGATCTGCTTGCTTCAGGCAAGGGGAAAAAAAAGATCAAAGACTCAAACTCCTCTAAGAGGGAGACAAAGTTCTTTTGTAAATCTGGTATCTTTTATTAAACCAACTCAAAAAATGGAAATAATCTTCTTTGCAAGCTTTCGGGTATAAATACCCTTCGTCAGGCTGAGGAAGCATCTGCACTTGGTGTGTGCTCTTTCTGGATGGAGTGAATAGTCAGGAATAGCCTCAGAGGGAGTGCAGTAGAAGATCACAGTGGAAGCATGCAAGAAACTTGAGTGCCATGCTGAACTTGCGTGCAGTAAATGGCACTCAAAGGTGCTTGTTACCCCAGAAAGTTCAAGTGGCATTCTGCTTCAAAGAATTGCATAAATTAGTTTCTCAATAATTCCCCACTGGGCTCTGAGATCTTCAGAATGGGAACAATACGGTCATGTCAGTCTGTACTGGAAACTGTGGGCACAGTAAACTAATCAACTGTGTTACTCCTAGCCCCGCAATCTTAGCATTGGATTCGCAGTCAAACTTTCCTGCTTGTTCACCATCGTTAGTGCTACAGATCTGGCAGGACCAGACTCACAGTTATGCTGTGCAGTCTCCAGGTTGCACCTGCAATGGCTGCATCTAGGCTGGTTTTCATACCTTCCCACTGCCATCACCAGTACTTTAGATTCACTACTAGTGCAAACTACTAGTATTTCAATCCTCCCGCCCTCCCAGATCCAGGCAGGCATCCTATGGGAAGCTCCAGGCTGGGAGGCTTTGGGGTTCAGATGCTCCCAGTCTCATTTGATCTTAGCCAAGGGATCAAGACCCATCCATGAGCATGGTAGGGGCCATCCTCCAACCCAGGGCTTGCCAAGCCACTACTGTACCGATTCTGATAGGAAATTGGTACAAAATGTCCTTAGTGTAGAAAAGGTCTGGTAACCTTCACTATTGAGAGGTGAGCAGAAAATATAGCACTCCACTGATGGGTCTTAATGCTCTGCTTTGCTCTTCCTTTATGCTGGGAAAAGCTGTCAGGAAGGTTACGAGGCGCTTGGGTTAGGAGTGACCGCTCCCGGTAATTCAGTCTGTATTGTATCATGTGCTCTCTCAAATGTTAGCATTTCTCTGCTTTGGCAGTGAAAATCAAGCCAGTCTCACTCTGGAAGCAAGCGAGATTTCCATTCAGGTTTTTCAGACCTGCGGTCCTTTTGCTGCATACGCTGAAGGGAGTGTGCATTTCCCGAGGTACTAATGATAACTTTTGAAATGAAGCAGCAAAAGTCCTGGCAATGCTGTCGGTCTTGGTTTAGAATCACGGTCTTCTCTTTTACAATTTGAAAAGCATTCTCAAATCACATTTGGGCTCCATGTCTTCAAGTGTATGCCGAACGTGCTGGTGAAGGGAAAGGAGGATTGTCTGATAGACTACAGACTGGAAATTGGGTCTAGCAAACTAGTAATGGTAGACATGCTAACTTTAATCTCTTTAAATGGTCTGTAGTGTAATTAACCTCAGGCTACTGTTTTTCATGTTGGTGTGATCTGAGATATGTTGGTAGGCCAAGGGTAACTCTCAGTCCCCAAAGCCTGCTGTGCTAGATGGCTACTGATGGTTTCTAGCAGAGAGCACAAGTTAAAAAAAATGCCTTGAACTTAGCCAAGTTTCAGAGGTGGGGAGGGTCAAAGGATGAGCTGTGAGACTGTGTTCAAGTGTGTGCCTTGCTTTGCCTAGGGTAGGGGTTCTCAAACCGTAAACTTGGTGTTGCCTTAATTTGCAACGTAGCAGTTGTTAAGCAGGTTATAGTGAACCAGTGTAGCTTGGGAACTGCGGATCTAAGGTAAAGAGAGCTGATTAGCAAACGGATATCAGCCAGAAAGTTGTGTGCATCTTTGCGTGCCAGCAAAGGCCGGTAATTTCACTAGTGGAATATTTTACACCTACATGCTCTAGCAATGGGATTAAATTCTAGGGAGGTAAATTCAGTGGTACTGCTGCATTGTGCTTGGAAAAAGCATCCCCTCTTTCATTAAGGGAGCCTTCGGTTGGAGGGGGAAGCTGAATTTCCTTATTGGTGAAGGTTGGGATGAGAAGTACTGCTCAGCTGAAGTTGGATGGTTGTGCGTGTCATGACGAGTGTGGTACAAGCATGAGCATCTAGACAAGCAACCAAACTGAGTCAGGGGACTTGTCTTCTTCCTGAATGGCGGCATTAAGTATTTCTTTGGCTAGTTTTGGAGCTGTGAGACATCTTCGTCTTTTTGTAGCCCTAAATCATGGTTACATTGAACAGGCTACAGGTATACTGCAGAAGGCGTCTATCTGACAGCTTACTGTTTTCAAACACCCTCCCAGAGCTAGAGAGACAGAGACGCCTACAAATGCATCTGTTAATTCAGGTTATTGCATGACATAGGTGAGGGTATCAGTGAAGGACTTCTACTTACAGGATTTGATTTGCAAATTACCATATGTGAAGAGGTGAAATTACTTTGAAATGAAATCTTTGTAAGTATTCTTTTTATTCTCCATGCAGAATTGCCCCCTTTGAGATAAATACTAACTCTTCCTGTTTAGGACTTATTTAAATTGTGCGTGGGAGGGAAAAGACCTCTGTGACTGCCGAATAATTTGATCAGAGGTTATTTGGGCTGTTCCTCCTACGGACTCTTTGCATAACAAATTTGACAGCATGCTTTTGGAGTGGAGTTAATCCCTGACACTGCATAATTACTGACATGTTACAGACCGGCTTCTACCTACCTCTAGCTCTTGATGTAATGGGGCACTGGTCTTCAAGTGACTTTACCTAAACTATGTTAAAAGGGTTTAAATAGCCCTTTTTTGAGTGACAGGTTAGTAACACTTTCTACTAAATCCATAATCTGGCTAAACCTAATGGCTATTCAAGATATGCTTTTAAATAAGAAACTTGAAAATTCTCCAGCACATTTGAACTGCCCAGTTCAATTTCCTTTACTCAGTTTCTTGAGACTATGCTAAATTAATCAGAAAAGCAAAGCCTGAACTTTTTCTTGAGGTTGCCTTGTTTTGTTGTTTTGTGTCTTTTTGTAGATAATGGCACTGCACCCACGGAGAGTTCGTTTGAAACCCTGGCTGGTAGCGCAGGTAGACAGTGGTCTGTACCCAGGCCTTGTCTGGCTAAATCGGGAAGTGAAGCGATTTCAGATCCCCTGGAAGCATGCAACACGACACAGTCCTCAGCACGAAGAGGAGAACACCATCTTTAAGGTAGGGCAGGAGGAAATATGAAGACACAGTATTAAGATCCTTTGAGTTTGTTGGATTTAATTAGTTTCTTGACTACTGCTTCTCTCACCCCCTGTTTAAACCATTTCCTTCAAACGCAACAAACTAAGGCCCACATTGTCAAAACGAGCAGTGGTCTTTTTTGGTACCTCTGAGCACTAGCTGTATGCAAATTAAGCTTTCTTAACAGGCCTCCAGTTGTGAATGCATGTAGTCACTAGTGACTCTTAAAATTTGGGGCTCATCTTTGTTTTTATTTTGTGTTAGGAAAAAAAAAAGATAACGCGAGGAAACAAAAAATGCTCTGATTGCTACTGCCATAAAAAGTGTTCTAGGCGAGACTTCCCCTGAAAGAGACAACACACTTTACAGTAGATTTGTTTAGAAACTTTGACTCTTGATCAAAACTGGAATAACAGCAGGACTTAACTGAGCCTGGTGCACTTTGCCTCCAGGCATGGGCCGTGGAAACGGGAAAGTATCAGGAAGGAGTCGATGAGCCAGACCCTGCAAAATGGAAAGCCCAGCTCCGATGTGCTCTCAACAAAAGCCGGGAATTCAACTTGATGTACGATGGAACCAAAGAGGTGCCCATGAACCCTATTAAAATTTACGAAGTGTGCGATATCCCGCAGTCCCAGGGATCAATCATTAATCCAGGTGAGGGCTTGGTGACACAGTGCTGGTTACTAAGTAGGTATCAGTCCAGTGCATGTGCCTGTTTTCTCCGATTCATATTAACAACTAAGCTACCTCTGCAAACAGTTTAAAACTTTAAGGTCAAGTGGAGGCTCTTTGACAAAGCCAATTAAAAGATTTAAAGCCCACATTTAGCTGTGGCATTATGGGTAGTAATGGAGTTAGCTCATTATTTCGAATGATGTTTGTTAAATGCTGCACTGTCCTTGGCAAGGCTTCTCTCCGTCTGCTTTTTACTTCTGAAATCAAGCTTAAGTAGTTTGTATAGCCGTGTGTCAAACTTCCTTTCTGCTCATAAATTAGTATTTGATATTGTAGCATGCAAACAATGGGTTTTTGCAGTGAATGTACTGCAGTTTCTCACCAGACAACACATGCTCTTAGTCCCACAGGTTGTTCAAAACTGATGCCATCCACTATTTTAGCGGCATCCTGTGTTTCACTGTGGACTCATCGCTCAGTTCGGGTATTGTTCTACCAGGGCAAAAGCTGTGAACAGAACCGTTGGAGCAACAAAAAAATTCACAATCCAGAAACAATTGGGAATTCATCACTGTTTAATGCTGAACCCTGAAAACATTTAGGATAAATGGAACACGGTGAATTCGAAAAAAAAATGTGTTTAAATTAGGAAAAGTTTCATAGTTTCATAGTTTCAGGGTCGGAAGGGACCTAATAGATCTTCTAGCCCGACCAAGTTGACACTATGGAGTTATTCTAGGAATGACTTTTGCCCAGTACCTTGAAATTTAAGCTTTAACTAAATTTCTTACGAGAAGGGAATCTCTTGCATCTGCTGTGTCTGAGCAGCAGTGAAAGAGAGACTGATGTCTCGTATCTTCCTTTTTTCAGTGTCCAAACAGTTCAGTGTGTTTTCAATGCCTGCTTCTCTCTAGGGTCCACTGGCTCTGCTCCATGGGATGAGAAAGATAATGACTTTGATGATGAGGAAGAAGAAGAATTAAATCCACCTCAGCATATCCCCATACAGGACACTTTTCCGTTTCTTAATATTAATGGTTAGTACAATAGGGTGTGATGTATCCATGCTGGTATTGACTTGTAAATCAGCATGTGTATGTAAATCAACAGGTTTGGGTTTTTTACCACAGTCTTGATGAACTAAAATTCCTTAATTGTTTCCAGGTGACCTTATCCTTAACCCCTGGCTGCTTTCAGAAGTCTATTAAAGCAGCCATGCTGTTTCCCGCATGGACAGATAATTTTGTCTCCTATATCTATAGTCAATTAGATTCCCCTAAATAAGCTTTATTGAAATGATAACTGCCTGTTCTATAGAAGTCAGTCAAAGAATCCCTTGCTGTATATGTCAGGCTTAAATATAATAATGGAGCCATCTTTTATTCAGACGGCTATATTTTCTTCACCTAGGTTATGGCTTAACAAGTTTAAACAGTAGTGTTGGCTCAGTATTTAAATATTCTTGTGTAGCAGTTTGCTAGGGGTCAGACTGAGGTTTAAAGCTCTCTAGGCAAGCTGGTTAGATGAGATGCAATGGAGCTCTACCCTTCCGGTATGCTAACCCATGACCTGAACTGCTTTTTCATTTGTTTTTCAACAGTTGCTGTCACTTTTTCAAACAAAGACATTTAGAGTGTTAGCCACAGCTCAAATCAGTACATTTTACTGCCTCTTCCAGTAGTGCTTTCAGAATGCACGCCGAAGGCTACCGTTGAATGGGGCTATCTAAATTTGTGTGCATCATGTTTGTTTAGTCCAGTTCTCTGCAGAGAGGTGCCTGATAGCCAGCCTGTTGACACATCTTTTGGTGATATTGGACAGCTGAAGCCCAAATGGGTCTACACACTGAACTACCTCGTTGTTCCTTGGCAATGATCAGTGCAGCTCAATACCAACAATTCTGGTGTTGTTTGGAGGGGGAAGGGGCACTGTTCATATTTGATACGGTCTGTGGCTCTGTGATTTGACACCAACTTTGGTCTTACTAGGAGCTGCTGCATTTAACAGGGTAACTGTAGAATAAAAAAATGAGAACAGATTTTTTATTCGTGCCTATATTTGACAGTATGGAAAACTAATGGCAAAATTCATTCTAGCTAGTTGCATGCCAGAACGTACAGATTAATCTGCCCCATTGATAATAAACATGCACTAACTATTGAGTCAGTTAAGAAAGGTGTGAGTTTTTAAAGTACACTCAGTTTGCCTGGTTCTTCTCTGTAGATTCCCCGATGGCTCCAGCCAGTGTAGAAAGTTGCAGCACTGAAGCGGCGTGGTCCAAGAATGAACCGGTAGATATGGAGATGCCCCCAAGTACTCTGCAGCATGACTTCTTCAGCTCCCCTGAGCTCTGGATTAGCTCTCTCCCAAGTACGTATGTATGTGGATTTATAGGGCGTCTGTCACCGGAACTGGAAAAGAAGCAGCTTGTTTGTTGTTTTCTACCACATTTGATGTCATACACTTCAGCATACAGGACCATATGTATTTAAAATGCACTTCTGCAACTCTTGCATTGCACTGTTCTTCCTACATGAGCGTCTCCCTACAGGGGTTTTTAAACACCAAGAAAGCCATTTTAATGATTTTCTCTCTTAGTGACAGATCTAGAAATCAAGTTTGAATATCGAGGAAAAGAGACTGGGCCAACCTCAACTGTCAGCAATCCCCAGGGATGCAGGCTGTTCTACGGAGAATTGGGTCCTATGCCAGACCAGGAAGAGCTGTTTGGACCTATTAGTCTGGAGCAAGTAAAGTTTCCAGGAACAGAACAGATCACCAATGAAAAGCAAAAGATTTTCACAAGTCGGCTGCTAGATGTCATGGACAGGGGACTGATTCTGGAGGTCAGTGGCCATGCCATCTATGCCATCCGGCTATGTCAGTGCAAGGTGTACTGGTCTGGACCATGTGCCCCTTCGTCCACCACACCAAACCTGATTGAGAGGCAAAAGAAAGTCAAACTCTTCTGTCTGGAAACATTTCTAAGTGGTAGGTACCTTTTTTAATGCTGAGCAACCACCTTGATTACTGGCTCTGCCCCTTGGCCAGCACTTAACCTGGAAAAGCGAGACTGGGGTTTGCAACTGGTACTCTTCCTCCTTGCTTTGGTGAGGATCTGTACATGTAGCAGCCATTTCTAGGCTCATCTGAAGTAAATGGGAGCCTTTCCATTGACCTCAGTGGATTTTTGGCTCAGTTACAGGATGAGAAAGAAAAAGCAAAGAGATTATCTGCCAAATAATAGGTTCCTTGTTCATCTCATTGATATGTATTGGTGGCTAGTACAACTTTTGCATGGGGGTAGAAAACAAGAACTGCGATCAGCTGCTGGAGGTAGTTTGGCTCTGGAATACATGGGTTGGAGATACTGACCTAGGTTATACTAAATACCCAATTGAGATGGTAGAGAATGACATTGGATCCACATTGGGAATATACCACATTTACCACATTGCCTTTCTTCGTAGAGCTGATTGCTCATCAGAAAGGACAGATGGAAAAACAGCCCCCCTTTGAGATCTACTTCTGTTTTGGGGAAGAATGGCCGGACGGAAAACCTAGAGAGAGAAAGCTGATTGTGGTGCAGGTAAGAGCTACTGCCTTGCACAGATGTGCCAGGGCACATGTGGAACGAGCAGCTGAATCCAGTGGAGACTTTTTTTGCTTCAGCAGGTTTTTCTCCATTTCAGCACAGTCGATAGCAGAGAAACCTGAACTGAAAATTGGCAGGGATTTTTTGGCTTTGAAATCCAAGTGGAATGAAATCAGCTTTCACTGATGTGGGATGCTTCAGTGTCTAAACCACAGCTCAGCGTTCAGTGAAATTGTTCTGCAGATCACTTCTCCAATACGGGAGATTCCCAGTGTACTTGAGGACTTTGCAAATTTACTGTGCTGCTTGGGTTATCATCTTAATTAGGCTGAAATAACCAAGGTTTCTTTTTTAAACAGGTCATTCCAGTTGTAGCTCGGATGATTTACGAAATGTTTTCAGGCGACTTCACACGTTCCTTCGACAGCGGCAGCGTGCGGCTTCAGATCTCCACACCAGATATTAAAGACAACATCGTTGCCCATTTGAAACAGCTGTACCGCCTCCTGCAGACCCACCAAGATACCTGGCCAATGCCGGCCCCAAATATGCAGATTGCTCAACCGCTTCCAGCACAATGACACGTTTGGTCTCCGGCTTATAGCTGCTTTACGCCCCCGTTTCTTAACTGTACATATCAAAGGAGAATCTTAATTTGTGCCTTGCCTGTATTACAATGAAACCTGTGAAAATCCTGTATGCAGATGGTCAGATTTCAACACTAGATGGAATTCACTTTTTGGAAGTCTAAATTGAAAAGCTTTAGGGGCGGCATCTTTAGTTACTGTCTCTCTCTCTCTCATCTCACAGTAGATTGCTTGTGCAATCTACTATGTATGTATCTCATTTTGTATTATTTCATTAAAACTCCTATATTGGCAGGCTGTGTATAACTACTAGATCAATGTAAACAAATTTTAATTCTCTTAAGTGTCTGTCAAGCGATTTTCTACTTTCCATTAAACTGCTTTGAGAAATAAAATGAGAGAGAAAAAACTCATTATTTGTTATTGTTCTCTAGCTGCTAGCGGCTGGCTGGTGCTTTCTTTGTTTACTATCACGTTTTATACTAAGTGACACTATTTCTTTGAACCCAACCAATTAGTCAACATTAAACTCAACACTAAAACTTGAAGCTGAATATTACAATTGTTGGTGTAATGCAGTTCTGAAGAAGGTAAAGGTAAAATCTGGGCCATCGTCATGGCGTTTTAGTGTTGCTATATGAGGTCTTTTAAGCCAATGTTTCAAAGGAGTCAGTACTATAAACTTCTCTTTATGTGAAAGGGAGAAATATGCAGTGTGCTTTAGGTAATTAGTAATAAAAAGTTATTTCACTACCTAACTGCAGTTGTGCTCCATGCCCAAATACTTAACGCCTTTTTCTAAAGGAAGCTGCTCTCTAACTATTACCTGTTTTCCTTTTACTTAGCTGTTTCAGGTGAGCGTTGCATTGCATTGTGCATCTGATTGTCCATGGCTACTTAAGAGTATGTGCTCTTTCGTGTCTGGATGTCAGATTATGATGCAATTATAGATGTGCGCGAGAGAGGGAACCGTGTAGGATGTGTGCCACAGCTGGAGTTCCTGTAAATCACGTGTTAGCAGTTCTGTTTTCTAAAAGGTGTCATTTGCTCGCATGATCACAGCACACAGAAACCAGGACCGCTGAAGGTAATTTGCTTCCTTTCTGTCTAGGTTTTCAGCTAGGCAAGCTGAACTTTACAGAAAATGTTGGCAAGAAAGGAATGATGGTCTTTGTACTGCCAAACGCAATTCACAACTCGCATATTTAACGCGCTTTTATTATTATTTTTTGTATGCATGCCTCACCCAAGTGCTGTATATCATGGGTGGCTTGACAAATGACAGCTGCCTTGAACCCTACACATCCCAGCACATTTTAAGTACCTGCTTCTTTAAACATTTTTAATCCACTTAAAAGAAAAAAAACAGGGGGTATCATAGTAAAATGCTGCATGGGGGACAGTAGTGAGAAGGCAGGGTGGCCATCACAGAGGACATCCTGGTTTTCCGCTACTCCATCCTCAGCCCTCTATTGATACGAAACTGGACGCCTTTATGCCCTCTATTTTTTCCCTTCTCCTCTAGACGATGAGGGTTGAAAGGGACCTCAACATCTAGTGCAACCCCCTACTCCCAGCAGGACCATCCCAAACTAGAACATCCCAGCCAAGCCTTTGTCTAGCCGTGGCTTGATCTCCTTCAAGGATGGAGACTCGCTGGGTAACCTATTTCAGGGCTTTACTGCTCTCCTAGTGACAGAGAGTTTCCCTAACATCGAGCCTCAGCTTCCCTTGCTGCAACCTGAGATGCAGATGCAGATGCAGATGCAGAGTGCAAAGCTTACTTGCTTCAGCCCGGACCCCAGCCCTAGCTTCTTGCGGGCAGGGGCAGGGCTAGGGCTATGCCCAGGGCTGCAGCTTGTGCCTTTAAGGGCGGGAGGGGGAGCCCTGCCTCCTTGCATCAGCTGATGAGAGGGCGGGCGGGCTGGCGGGGAAGCGGAACCCGGGCTTGATGCAGGCTCCTCCCGCAGCAGGGCCGGTGTCCTCGGGGGGGACCCCGGTTCCTCTGCATCCTGCAAGTTCGCATGCACTGGCGTGGGTTTGCACGTGTGGGAGGCAAAGCAAGCCCCTTCCCCTGGTGCTGCCTGGGGTGGGGGAGCTCACTGCTTGATCCTCTCCTTGGGGGATTGATTTATTTAAATTTTTTTGGAGAGGAAGATAAAGAGGTAACAACCCTTTGCTCCTCCTTCTATCCCTTCTCTTCTTTGCTTTGCCAGCTGGGAATAAGGAAGAGAGACAAGCAGCTGACGTGCAGCTCCTGAGCGCTGCTGCATGGCTCCTGGATTGTAATTTAGGATGCTGTCAGCTTGCAGGGGCTGTGTCTTATTTGCAGCTTGGTGACTTGGGCTTTTTCTCCAAGCCTGTTAGGTTTTCAAACGGCAACCTTGCATTAAGCCCTGTGCCAGCGCCGCCTGAACACCAAAGGGCTGGCATAACTGGCAGGATCTGTTTGCTATGACGTGTGTGTGTATCTGGGGTCTGTTCTGTAAGCTGGTGGGGGGTGTTGGAGAGTTGTGCTAGATGCTTGGTCTTGCACGCGTGTGGGGGAAAGAGGGAGGGTTCTCTGTAACTTCCTTTTTAGGAATGAATGCGGTACATTTAAATATTTCTTTGAAGCTAAGAAAAACCTTGAGTCTCTCTTCCAGTAGTCTTACTGCTTGTTTTGGTGTCTTTCAGGAGGTGACTAGAGCTGCAGAACAGCTAATGGGGAAAGGAACGCAAAATTTCTCTGTTGAGCAGCCAAGCCAGTGCTATGGGAACATTGTCCCCTCAGTTACTAATTGCCGCAGCTCAGCAAAACCTTAGAAGAGGGAAGAAGAAAGGCTTATCTCCTGCTGGGTGTTTGCACCTGGCTGGGGAGATCTTAGCTGTAGCTTCTGGACTGAAACCTGCTTTCCTGTACGATTATAATGCAGTCGGAGTCGAGCAGGTCCAGAACTACTTGCGGCAGATCCAGGACATGGGCCTGACGAGGCATCCGTTGCACCTCCTCAGCATAGCAGACAACATTTTGATTCTCAACCTGGAGAAGACGGTGCTGCATCTGGAGTCGCTGCTGCTCATGAACAAAGTCCTCCTCATCGATGTCTCTGCATCTAGGAAATGCCCCCAGCCTTGTGAACCAGAACATGTGGACTCTCTGAAAGGCCACATTTCTGATCTACTGGCTCATGTTAAAGCGGCGGAGAGAGTCGCATCCCAGCCAGTCTCCACCAGTCAGATCTTCTCTGCTGATTGGAACCTGTGCACCATGTTCGGTGTCCTCCTGGGCTACCCTGCTTTCTATGTCTTTAATGCAGAGAAGGGATTTGAAAACTGCTTGTCTCTGACTCCACTGAGAGTTTTCACTGTCCAGGCCTCTTGCCCTCAGATAAGTAAGGATCTCAGAGTCCGAATTTATTCCTTCAGTGTCCCAGAGAACCTGTATCCTGCTATGAAGGAGGAGCTGGACTTATGGTGCGGACATATGAAAGATCTGTTTAGCTCACAGAGCGACTTTGTAAATGTCTTCGTTTCAACAGAGGTGGTTTCTCTAGCTGCTGTTGCTCTGTAAACTTAGTTATTCCTTGCCACTTCAGTTTGGAGGGATGGGTAGGGGATACCAGGTCCCTGTGGTTCATCCCTACATCCCAGAACACCTTGCTTCAGGTTTGGCAGAAACAGGCTCAAAATACAAGCAGTGGTAAGGGGAGTGTGCTAACCTGCTGATCCTCTGCTTCCCCTTACCACTCGTGGCTTAAGTTTTTCCCTTTCCTAGGAATGCAGTCCTGAATTTTAGTACCCACAGTTGTCACCGTCTGTCCACACTCAACAGATCTGAATGGTAAGCTGCTCAACTTGGCAGCCCCTCCCAAGTGCAACTGAGCTCGGTCCCATTCCCTATTCGAGCTCCATTGAAGCTCTGCTACTTTGCCACTTGCTCCCAGTGGCAGTCTGCCTGGAAGAATAAGAACATGGAAACCAGGACTCCTAGGTTTTCCACTAGTTCTACTTGGTGGGTCTCAGTCTGCAAAACCAGGATAATACTTGCCAGTCAAGAATAGTCAAGACAAATACATTTCAGTAATGACATGGTGCTTCAAACATGAAGTTTGCTATAGATATGAAATAAAACGTTTTGCCCTTTGGAACGTAGAGTCATCTACTTCCTAATAATAGTGCAAATATACGTCTACGTCAGAGAGACGCTGCTCTGAAAGCAACAGAGCTCAGCTGTTACAGGGAATTAGTAATGCACTATTAATGCTACACAGCAAGAGCATGCAAGTATGTCCACTGACCTGCCCCTTGCACACTCATGAGCAAAGGTGATGAGGTGGGGTTGGGTAAGTGAGACCTGTGAAGGAGGCTGATGGGAAGCTTGAACTTGATGAGTGAAATAATAGGAGTTTCATAGTTTCAGGGTCGGAAGGGACCTAATAGATCTTCTAGCCCGACCCCCCGCCAGGGCGGGAGAACAACCAAAAAAAAACAAAAACAAAACCACTCACCCTAAAAACAAAAACAGGACTCAAATGAGTCCAGCCAGGTAAGTATCCAGCCTCTTCTTAAAGATCCCCAGGGTAGGGGCCAGCACCACCTCCCTTGGAAGTTGGTTCCAGCTCCTAGCCGCCCTGACTGTGAAGTAGTTTTTTCGGATGTCCAATCCGTACCTCCTCTCCATCAACTTGTGCCCATTACTCCTTGTTATGCCAGCAGGGGCTAGGGGAAACAGCGTCTCCCCCAAACCCTTCTGGTTCCCCCTAGTTGGTGGAGGCACTCCGGTCGAAGTACTGAGGCAAGTGTCCAGATAAGGAAGATTTTTGGTGGCCGTTTGTAAGTTTGCCCAGCACATTTCTAAAATAGACTAGAGCCTGTATATGCAATTGTTGGGGGTGTTTTCTTCCTGTTCAGGCAGCTGGTTTAACATCTCCCATCTTTTTTTCAGTTTTTCTACCCCAGCTTTTTTTTTTTTTTTTTTTTTATAAGCAAATTAGTGCCTTATAATATGGATTGGAAAGAGGATGGAGAGGAAGATCCTGCAGGACTCACTAAGGTACCATCAGAAGGGCCTGCAAAAGTGCTTGCCTACTTATGTGGAAGTATGGATTTCCTTCCCCTAGTGCACTAGGTATTTTGTGTTTTCTAGCGAGCTGCTTTTCTGCTAATGGGCATGGGCCTACAACACCCATTACTGTAAATTAAATGAGGATGGAGACTTATAGCTGGTCAAGTACTCCGTCACAAATGCCCTGTGCCCTTCCTTACCCTACAGTGAATAAAAGCTAACGTATGTAGCAGCTCACCCCTTTCTTTCACTTGGGAACTGCCCACGGGCATGTTCGTGTACATAGAGTCACTGACAGGCTGTAAATCCCTGTTTGTTAACCTCCAGGTAACCTGTACGCCTGCGCCCATGCCCTAAGTGTAGAGTAGGAGGTGTGGGTGCCTTGCAATGTGGCATTTTGACATTAGGAAAGCAGACACAAAACCTTCAGCAGTGAAGCTTTAATTAAAAACAAATAAAAATGGGAGTGACAAGAATGATCTCACAGCATTTATTAGATCACAAGGAGTTCAGAGTGAGACCAGCTCAAAATGGAGGGGAAAAATCCCTCAAGTACTTACTGTGCATATATAAAAAATAGCCTTTTTTTTTTTTGTACATGACAGTGAAAACTCATGATCTGAGTCAGTTATGGAGCTGAGGTAGTTGGCATGTATTCTGGGGGCATAAGGTTGGCTAGGAAAGCTGCCACAGCTGCTGCTATCACCACCATTAGGACTGGAATCCAGAGGCCGCATTGTCTCTGTAAGAGAGGAGCGAGGGGTGTCAGTGAATCAGGAGCCAGGGAAAATTGTAATTTTATCCCTGATCTGGACACAAATACAAACAAACTTTCCCCTCACGTCCCAGCACGTGAAAACCCACTTTCCCCAGCACCCATCTCCTGCTGGCAGTCTGCAAAGGCCTTAAACTGCTCAGCCTTATTTGCGGCAGGCAATAGCGGACGCGGTCATAAGGAGCGGCTCCTACTTTTGATTGTCTTCCCTGGAGCTGATTGAGCTCGTCCCGGCATTGATGTAATTTGGTCAGGCAGGAGCGGTACTCATCACCCAGGGCCTCCAGCTCGGCGCGGAGCTCTGCGCACTGGAACAAAACCCACGGTCATTCAAACAGTCACCGCCGCACTGCTGGGGTTAGGGGTAGGGCTCAGTGGGAAAGGGCCCACCCAGAGCCGTGAGATCCTGAGGGACTTTCACTCCCACTCTGAATATTGTTGTCTCAAGGTTAAGTGAAGCTTTTTTTTTGGTCAGGGCAGCCTGAAGGAAGCCGGAGGACGGTGGCGGGAAGGAAGGTGCATGGCCTCTGCCTGTGTATTGTCAGGCTTGTGGCTTGCAGTGCGGTTATGTTGGCAGCAGGGAGAAGAAAAGTTAATTCCCCTGTTTCTCCCTCCAAAAAAATAAAAAAGACTATGATTAAACACTGTTGAGAGACTGAAAGCAGGCTTTCCTGCTCCCACAGAGACCCTCCCTGACTTCTGAAAGATGAGTTCAAATGGATCAAAAGAAAGGGCAGCCCCAGCCTCAGCAGCTCTCCTCCGGGCGGGGTTGCCCTGAGCAGGCCTTTTCCCTCGAACCCATCTAACTGGGTCCAGCTGTGCTCTCTCAGGTGGCTGTTTTGGAAGGAGCTGTTGCCCTCCCTGCTGCCTCCTCAGCTACCAAAGTGCCCGCTTTCATGTCTTGGGTGTGAGGGGATGCTCTGCTCTCGGGGCTGGGCACAGTGCGGGGGTTTCGGTCAGCTCCGTGGTCTGGGCTGGGGTCCCCTGCGAGGGTCAGCTCGGTGTCCGCTGTGGCCTGGCCTGACTTGGCCTCGTTTCCTTTGGCAAGCCTCTGCCTCAGCTGACTTGGACCTGGGCCCTGCATCCAGTGCGCTGGAGGATACGGCCTGGGCTCACCAGGACATGCCGTGCCCCGAGGGAGCGGAGGCCCGTAAAGGGGAAAAGCTCATTTTGTAAATCCCTGTGTACAATCCCTCCACGTCTCGTAAACAAACAGAGCCCACAGCTCTTCTTGCTGCCTCTTGAAAGGGTTTAGACCAGGAGGGAGCTTGGGGAAGACTCCCCACAGCCCCTATCCCATGGACCGTGCTCGACTTTGCAAGAGCCGGTCCTTTATTTTTCATGCATGCCCCTGGTCTGGCATGCCACGAGCCTCCCCACTCCGTAAGGTTCCCCCGGACTCTCCCTTTCTGTGAAGCGTGGAAGCTGGGCTCCGCTGGAGCTAGCAAAGCCACAAGCAGGTCTGTGGCAAGCCAGAAGTTATTGCTACTGCACCATTGGCAATTCCTGAGAAGCACTTTACAGAGGGCAAACTGCCCGCCGGGCCAAGGGGAGTCCGCTGGGATGCCCACTCCTGCACCCTTGCAGGGGCTGGGTGCATCTCTGCAGAGCAGTGGCTCCCACAGTACTGCCTACTGGGCGGCTCTATTCTGCCTGTCCCACCACCAGGAAACAAGAGGCAGGAGCGAGGGATTGCTTAGGTATCTGGCTGTGTGCAAGAACCACTTTTAAATGTGCCTTCTGATGCTAGTTCCTTTTGCTAGGTACAAAAGTGCTCCTCTCTCTTTCATCTCTTCCCAGAGGTGATAATCTCAGCTTTGGAGTGTAAACTGCTTTGGAAGATTATGCATACCTGTGCTGGTTATTTTGATAGCCCTGGACTTTCGTCCATCCAAGAGTTATCTGCAGCATTGGGCTGCTGTACAAAGCTTTAAGTATAACTTCAGCTTCAGCCTGTAAAGTTTTAGCTAGCTGTGAAATACTTTGTGAATTTAAAGACGGGGTAAACAGCTTGAATTTCCCAGAATGTTATGCCTTTTGGAAATAATTTGGACGAAAACCAGAGGGGTTTCTGCTGAGGTCAGAATTGGTGTCACTCGTGTATCCTGAATCAGACAACTCAGTGCCATTAGGATGGATGCTTCTAAAAATCATTGTGCAACATTTTCATTTCTGCCTTTGAAAGCATTTTAAAATAGCAGTTAATCTTCTAACAAGATCATTTAATCTCATTAACAGATTTAGTCACCCGCTCACCTCTTTTTCCTTTGCTTTGAGCGCAGATGTCCTTTTTTGCAACTGGTCCATCAGGTTTTCCTTTTCCTCATCTTGCGGCTGCTTGAACAGAGTGTTTTGTATTTCTTTGACAGGGCTGGGGGGCTGCTGCATAGTTAAAATTTGATCTAAAAAATAGCCAGACTTCCAATGAGAAACAAGTCCAGGCTTTTAGTCTGCATCTTTATTGCTCTACAAATTGATTCTTAACTCTGCATGGTTTTTTTTTAATGTATTGGGATGCTAAGCAACTGGGAACAAGAGTGGGAGATGATTTCATTTTCAGAGGGCTCTGTCATGGGCGGGGAATTGATAATATTTAAAAACATATTTAACTGGAAATGTTCAAAAGAAATTGGGCAACGGAAGCTTTTTTTGAGGAGGGAAAGGTCCAAATTCCCAAATGTGGTTGTTTAATTGCAACTAGCCCTGAACCCCAAGGAAAATAGAAATGAATCCTAGTAGGCAAAAAAATATTGGCGTTGCCACCGAAACAGAGTTTGAAATCAATTTAATTTATTGTATCAATTTAATTTATTGTATTTATATATATATATATATAAAAATAACGGAACTAAAGTTTACATCAGCTAGGAATATAGCCTGTTGTGAACAGGTGACATTTCCTTATGCTCTGCCGATGAAGGCTGCACATGAAGTTACCGCTTAACCTCCTCGTTATATTAAAAGCATAACAGGCTTCTAGCATCTGAGTTACACATTTTGCTGACCTTTTCTTCGTATCACCTCTGCCTGAGCGCTCTGCTCCTCAGACTGGGTTTGTAGCAGGTCTGTGAACAGAACAGGGCACTATTATTGCCCAAGATATAACACATCCATTTAATCAGAGGCATTGCCTCTTCCTCTTCTAAACTGCACTTTCTCCTACCTCAACACCCCTCGGATGTGGCCTTTCAGTGGTAGCTAGATGGAAACTAAGGCTTCATAACTAGCTATGAGCAGGTTCCCTGTGACTAGTGACTTGATTCATTTCACTTCACTTATATAATTCCCAGGAAAACTGTGCCCAGAAAATTGTGCTGAAAGTAGTGGGATTGCATGCCTGCACCCAAAGGTATGCAACTGGACTTGCGTCTCCTGATGCTGGTCTTCCTGTTAGAAGAGTTAATCTCCAAATAACTGGCATGAAGGTGTTATTCTGAATGGAAAAGTCTGATGTTCTTCCAGCAGACCCCAATAGGGCTGCCTTGTTGCATGGATGGGGCTGGGCAACAGCATCAAGTGCACCAGGATGCAGGTGCTGCACTGGTGTCAGTGAGGGCAGGGCCTGACCTTCAGCCCCTCCGCATCAGTGCTACTTACTGTGCAGGTTACTGAGGGCTTCTTCCAGTGTCAGCTTCTGGATTTGTTCATTTTTGAGTTTATCTGGAATTAACAAAGAATTGATCAGTAATAGTTTGCCATGGATGACAAAAACTCTCTTAGTATTTCTGCACAAGTGTGGCTGGCTTCCTTTCCCTAAATTCTCTATGGCCTCTGGAGGGTGGAATGAAGTGTGCTGGGAGCTTTAGTTCTTCTCAACTGAAACCGAGTTTTTCTTTAGGTTGCAAACAATTTAGGGGCATTATTTACACGTCCAAAACAATATGACTTAACCACTGATGGGAGGCTAAGAGATACGGCTCTGTTTTGGTTTAATTTAAATGAAGTTTTGTGGGGCTTTAATCTGTTGTACAGGCAGAGATGTCACTCGATTGTTGTTCGTTTACTTTTATTTATTACATTTAAAATAGTCACATGAGCACTAACTGATTTTCCCAGCGTCTGTCTGGTCTGACGCTTAATAATGTGATTAGCATCCACCTATATTCTGAGCAATCACTGTGCATTACTTCAAATAGTTATGAATGCATTCATTTTCTACAGGCACATGAAATGGACCTATATTTTCCCAAATTACAGCTGGGGAAACCTGAGGTGCAGAGAGGTGAAGTGCCTTGCTCAGGGACATGTAAAAAGTCTGTGGCAGAGATGGGAATCAAGCCCAGATCTCTCTCTCCTGAGAGTTGCACAACTTTCTTAGAAGTCAGTTTTCATAAGGTGAGGTAGGGAACAAATGCACTTAGCATAGGTGCCCCATAGGATATCAAGGGCTCTTCCAAGTGGAGGTGTCAAAAACCACTAAAAAAGGGTTTTTTTAATGTTGGGCTTTAACCACTGGGATTTTTAAAAAGTATTTTCTCGTATCAGAGTCGTGCATAAGCTGCCCTGAGCCGTTTTTTGGAAATCTAAATAGATACAAATCTCTGACGCAAGTGCCACCCTCTTTCCCCTCCGCTCTGTACCTTCCAAGGCACTGACGTGCTGTGCCTTGAGCGCGTTGTCCTCCTGCAAGACCTTGATTCTGGAGTCGAGATCCGTGTGTTCGTTCTCCAGATGGCGCAGGGCCCCGTGGAGCTGGTTGTTCTGGGAATCTGCCCACTGTGTAGAGGAGAATTGCAGCATCAGGGCACTGCACGCAGCGTCCTTCCAAACCAACAATGAGGCTGGCTTCTAGACATGCGAGGCAGCCTTTGGGCGTTCGCTCCCTTACAGCTCCTATTGTTTAACCACAAAACTAAAGCTACTGTTTGTCCACCAGCATGTGGATTTGCATATTCTGTTGCTATTGCTGCATAACCCTGAATTGCAATGCAGCCTCATCTTGCATAGGACATGGGGAATATAACTACAGACAGGAGTGCTGCACAACTGTGCAGTCCAGGAAGAGAGGAATAGCTCTGTGAATCCAGTATCTCAGGGGGAAGTTAGGCAATTACTCAAACTGGAAGGCCAGGACACCAGTGAAGAGGAGGGGATGACGTTTCATGGAGATGTAACCAGTTGGTGTACAAAAATACCAGACCAAGAAAAATCTAACAATCCCCTAAATGATCTGATTTGGAAGAGGCGTGCCAGTTACCATAGCAATGCTGTCTGTGAATGAAAGCCGCTCAATGGCACTGTCTTATACCTGGGGTTTCTGATGGACTATCACACAGTGCAACCATGTGTTAGAGTGAACCTACTTGCAATTTATTCTGCAAAATGTGGAGCTTGTTCTCTAGCTCAGTGTGTTTGCTGGTCATCTCACTCCAGTCTGCTTTTAAAGTCTCATAGTGTTCTTTCCAGAGGGCACAATCTTCTTCCGAGACAGCCAGGGATCTCTAGGAGGCAAAACAACAGTAATGGTAGAGTCGGTTTACCCAGCTCAGGACTGGTCAAAATAGGAAGCTGCACTGAGATAACAGCAGCGTTGTAATTTCATACCCCTTTAGTTAAACTGGTGCCACTCTAGAGCGATTTAATATGCATTTATGCCCGTTGATCTTACACTGGCAAAGTTTCAGTGACTGATTCAGCAGCCCTGGCGCCCATCCTTTAAGACTCCCTGCTCCATGTATTGACATGAAATGCCACATATATAGCACGAATGCCACATATATCCTAATGAGGTGTGGTTTGCCCCTTCCAGGTGATGTGCTGAGCATGTTCTTTAACAGCCTTTGGGAAAAGAAAGGGAAGCCCTTTCTGCACATTTGTAATACAATGCGACTGTAATTGCCCTGCTTTTGTTTCCTGAAGCAGCACAGAAATCCTAGAATATGGTGCCACCTCCTGGATGCAGAGAAACAGGAAAGGAGTTTTTCCATCTATTCAGGGCTTTATGCACAACAGTGGCTTTTCCGGAAGTGCTTTGAGATGGTACAGGGACATCATTTGAATTCTTGTGCATTTCAACAAATTGAAGTCATTGGTTATGGATGTATTTTGCTTCTATGGGGAGGGTTATGCACAACTGAAAATACCAATCCAAATCTACCCCCTGGCCCAGAGAACTGGATGTGGGACAGCTTTTCTAGGGACAATATTTAACGATTTAAGATTTTTTTTTTTTTTAAATCAACTTCAAAGCATGGCCATACTGAGCTTTCTCTTCTCTCAATGTGCATTTGAAAAAATGCAGTAATATTGGAGACAAATCCTACAACTGGTCAAGGCGGTAGCACTTCTCTTTCTGACTGTGTTTAACTATCCGACATGTGGTTCATGCGATTTGAAAATACTCCTAGTTGTTTTTAATAGTAAAAAATGCAATCCCTCTTTCACTGAAGGGGAGAGGAGTTTTGCCACTGATTTCAATGTGAGCAGGATTTGGCCTGAGGCAATTGAACTAGTGTCATTTTTTTCCGGTAGCCTGGAAACTGATGCAACCAGGATCCCCGCTTCTCACCTGAGTGTTGTGGAGCTGCTCTTCTGCTTGGAGTTTCTCCTCAAGCACCTTCTGAATGGCCTCTTTTGCCTTCTGTTCATAGGTCTGCTTTTGGTCCTCCATCTCTATGAGGATCTTCTTCACCCCCTCCTTGGTGCAACTCTTTAGAGGAAGAATTGAACTGAGAATTGGTTAACCATGAACAGCCAGGCCTCCACTGGTAAAACAGAATAGCTCAGTCCAAAGACACTTGAAAGGTCTTAGTTGGTCCGTCCATCAGGCTCCAGCTCTAACACAACCACCGTGGCTTTGTGCTGGTTCTGTTTTTTAATATCTCCACTGTCACCACCCTTAGCAGATTATTCCCAAGTGTGATGGACCTCATCAGACTTGAGCTTTAGCACACGTGCTGTGTCAAGGCAACAAAATTAGCAGCAGTTAGAACAACAGTATGACAGAGAACGTCTTTTTTCTTTTTTTAGACCTACATGGATTCAGAAAATGAAACCCAATCCAAGTGTGGTGTTTCACATGCAAGCCGTGGTTTGTTTTTTGAAGAGGTGAGTTGGTTACCTGGGTGCAGGTCTGCAGCTTGTTTTCCAGGGTCCTGAGTTTGCACTTCAGCTTATCTTCATTCAGCTGCCCCTGAAAAAAAACCAAACAAATGAATCTAGGTCTGGAATTACTGAATTACACCAGTCTGCAGATTCCCCAGTGTTTCCATTGTTTCTGTGCTTTGAATTGCTCATGGTTTTTCTGCTCTTCTTTCCTTTCTCTTTTGTCCCTATAGCGATGACTGTATGAGTGATTTGGACCTGGGGAAATTCTTCTCAACATTTAAAGTTAAAAATAAACCTGAGAAATTTCAAAATTTTTGAGGAAAAAGGGGAACAGCTTTAAACACATCTCGCCTTCTTTTCCCTCCAACCACCTATACCAGGTGCAGGAGGGCAGGGGCTCCCAATGAGAGGGAAAGTTAAAGGCAAAAGGATGTGTAAGAACCTGCGCTGAGACCAGAACTGGCCACGTGGCTTTGTTCCATGCTTCCCAATTCTCTCACGTTGCAGCACTCTCTGTGCTGTGCTCCTTTTCTTAAAAAGCAGATACAATTTTAAGACTTATTTTGCATGTAAGATACTAGAAAGAGACATGACACCCAACTCTCCTTGCAGGCTTTTGAAACCTAAGCAAAATGAATGCAAAAGGGATACCTGTACAGGTATACGTGACTATACAAGGCACTATCGATGGGAGAGTCAGGCCACGTCTATATTTGGGTTTACTCTCAGAGTTTTCATGGGCACACCGCTCTTTTGCCAAAAGAGGGTAATTTCAGTTGAGCATTGGCAGAAAGACTTTTATTGCCAAAATAACTACATCTGTATGGGGCTTTTCACAACATTTTCCCCCTGTCGCCTAACTGACATAGCTAGAACACCCATGCTGGCAAAATGTAAGGGTAGACCATGTTGTAGCCATCCATCCGGAAGGGGCTGGTAAGAAATCCCCAATATGCCCCTCTTGGCTCTTCGTTCTCATAGTTTTAGTCAGGGTTGTTGTCTTTCTCGTCTCTGAATCCTCCTAGGTGGCAGCTGTTTTTTAAACACTACTACCAATCCCGGTATTCGGCCTTAGCAGCCAGAATGCAAGTTCAGAAAGGAGCACATAGTAGGTCAGAGGAAAGGAGCAGCACTCATGTTTACAGAGGGGACCAGTGATTTTTTGGGGTGCCTTGGTTTTGATTATCTGCACGGGATCCCTTGGATCAGATTTCTAGCTATGCCGAAAAACCCGGTTCCACGTGAAGTCAAATCAACAGAAGATGAAGAACACTGGTACTTTTTGGTCTTGGTTTTAGCTCAAAAAATTGGATGTCTACGTGGGCACTCCTAATAAGTTGACTGTAAAACCCTAGATGCTCCATGTGCGTCGATCAGGTGATTTTTTTTTTTAATTTTTTTTTTGCTGCAACTGCAGTGCTTTGGCTTTCCTCTGATTGGTAGATTGTATCTGATGTTTCTTCCCTTCTGCTTCCTGCTAGTCATTTTAATACCTAGTTGACAATGCAATTTTAAGCAGTGTTCATGAACTGAATTTGTTTTACATAAACACCACCCCTGTGCAAAACACAATGGAGAAAAGTGGGTCTAATCTGTGGCAGAAACAGAGTTGGCAGCTCCCACCAAAAACGCCTGTAAACTAGGCGCAAAGACCCGAAACTTCCAAAAGCCTGGACCAGGAAGCATTAAAATGATGCATTTGCACTTCAAACATAATTATGTTTTGCTAATTATTGTGACAACACCAAACTTACTTAGCTGCTTTCATCTGAGAGTCTCAAATTATTTTAGAAACCATGTTTAATTAAGCTTTCTAGCCGCTTTGATGCTTCCCTTTTCAGAGGGCAGCCTTCCTTCTGACTGAGGCACAGATAGCTGCCGTGCAAGCCTCCTAAATCTAGATAATAACACAGCAGAAACAGAACCCAGCAGTCAAGAAGCTAAGCCCATCAGTTTAACTGTTTGTCATCCTCCTGCTGTACTGATGAGCCCATGCATTTAGATGCACCCATAAATCTAAATTAAGATCCTACAAGGTTTCCCAGCATCATTTAAATTATAGCCGGAACATTCTTTTCCTTTTCACTTCATAATTGTTTGATAGCTCTTAGGAACTGCCCTACTATCTGATGCCATATCTCATTATAGCAGCATGGCAACCCGCACCTAATTCCCCACACAAATGATTTCAGAAGGGACCTGCTAAGGACTTCATTTGCCAGCTGTGGTCTGCAAAGCCCCGCTTACCTTAGTCTTTTTTCTAGCCTATCCTTCTGTCACATGGTCCAAGATGCTCCCAAAGGACCAATTCCTAACTATAACATTTATTTGCATTGGTTTCAATGCCAAACCAGCTGCAAGGTCATTTTTACTGTCTCTGAAGAAAAGCTAAAAAGCAGAGAAATCTTTCTTACAGCAAAGATAAAGAAGCAAAGTGCACCCACCTGCTTCTCATCTGAGGTTTCATGGCTACTTCCTGCCAACGTGTGTGTTAGGGTGTTTTTTCCTGCTCGTAATATATATATGAAGAAATACTGCAAGGCGGAAGTTTCAAAACCACAGCACATCTAACATTTTTTTTTTCACTACATCTCACCCAATTGCTTGGCTCCTCTGTCCTGACAGACTTCTTTCAGATACATTTTTGCAGCGTGGTTTCAAATCAACCACTATTTTATTTTTGTGCCATCTATTTTTTATTTTAAATGGGGTCATAATACCAGTTGTATTGTGGCTTGCAACTTCCAGACATAGCAGCTTAACTCTACTTCAGTGCTTTTGGGATCAAGCATGGTTACTGGTGAATGCCTCTCCATGGTACACTGAACAAGGGACTTGGGTGGCAAGGGCTCTTTCTGCAGAGTATGTCAGCAGGCGTTTAACATTTAAGTGTGTGGGCTTAAGTCCTATTGAATCATCCAGTATCAAATGCTTTGCTGAACTTGGGGCCCCGGACCTGTGCTCTGGGGCTGAGCAGCCATAGGATATATATATAAACTGCTACCCAGCTGGCTTTCGCCTCCTGGGTGGTTCTCTCAGAGAAACTAAGCCATGCTCTTACTACAAGGGACTTCAAGTGGCAGGACTGAGACAGTATACAAGAGGTGTTTGTGCTACTGGCTGTATTTTAGATCAGGGAAAGGATAGAGGTGTTCAGCTCCCAAAGCTGTGAGCCTGGCATCCTCACCAGAAATGAATTCCTTTACATTTACAAAAGTGGCATAGACTGAGAGCATCATTCTGGGTTCCTTCTCAGGCCCTAAATTAGCAGGGTAGAGCCTTGGCACAGTGCAGTAGGGCCATGCAAATCAGCAGGCTGCTAGAGAGGTTATAGAGGATGTCCCTATTGTTCCTCTTTGCTTATCTGCAGGAAACAGAATGAAGTGGAGGTGCTTCTTCTAAGACAAGGAGATACTGATGAAAGTGGCTTGTCAACCATCTTTTTTTATTTCTTTATTTATTTTGGTGGGGAGAGGGGAAAGACTTCATTTGGGTTTTGTTTTTAATTAAAATGCTTAGATAAGTTTTAAGCAGACATTTGTTTTGAATTAAAAACAGTTTCTTCTTTGCAGATTCTGTGCGCTTCTCCCGTCTTACTCTTTAATGGGGAAAGACTTAGAAATGGGGGCAAGGCCTCACAGGGTATAAATAAAGCCTTAGCAAAGTATTAAACAAAACCCACACACCAACTTTTTCAATTTAAAGATTAAAAGGAAACGTTGTTTCCCTCCAAATAGTACCAGAAGAAGAAGAAAATCTTGTAAGTTATTAAAGAAGCCAGCCCCTTTTTCTACCTAATCCTGTATTTCAACTGGTCCTCAAATTAAATGATGTTAAGGAACAGGGTAAGGAAGTTTTTTTTGTTTGTTTGTTTTTTTGTAGGCTAAACAGTTCCCAGACTTGCCGATGCTGCTCCACTTGAGATCTCTCTCGTCTCCGTCAGGAAAGCAAAGAAATCCTAGTGTGTGTTAGTGGGTAGAAACAAGAGATGCAGCATCTCCCTTCACACACTTAAGACTCAGAGGGGAGCTGGGATCTCCCACACTCAACAACACCCAAGAGCCCCAGCCTGGCAGTTTGGTACCTGCCAAGATTTTTCTGATGCTTGCAGCAGCGTGGATAAGAGCCCTTGTAAAACCACCATCTTCTGCTTCAGCAACAGCTCTCGGTGCAGCGCCTCCTGCAGGTTAAATAAGAGATCCAGACTCATGTAGGTTGCGTCTACACATTCAATTAATGCACATTAGCTAGGGTGCATTAAGACTAGTACCTCAATTGTGGGGTACTAGGAAAAAAAAAAAAAGTGGGGCGGATTAGTCTATTTTAATGCACATTAGCTAAAGAGCACAATTTTTTGTGATGCATTAAAATAGGCTAACCTTCATTCAAGCACGTGTAGACATTGCCGTAGTGCCCGAAGCTCACTGGAACATCCCGGAGAAACCCATTTAATCCCCAGGCCTTCTTACAGCCATTTCTCACTCCCCCCTGTATTTGAGAACCTATTTTCTGGACTATAGCGATTGCTTCTTTGGCTCTCCTGGCCATGCCAACACTAGATGGGGGTTACCAGCTTAGCAGAAGTATTGTGTTTTACATTTGCTTTTCACCTACTATTAAAACTGTATTGGTGGGGTTTTTGCATACTTACCTTGAGGTAGTTAGAAAGCTGAATTATTTCCTAAAATTAAAAGAAAAGTACATTAACAACCCAGGATCATATCACTTAATATTTTTTTTTTTTGGACCAAGTGGAACGTGAGATTTAAAAAAATAAAAAACCCCCAAATCAACTCATAAAAGACTAAAACGGTTTGCAAGAAACAGTGACAAGTGTAGGAGTTTGAGTCCAGTAAGTCTGGGGGCAATAGTGTGTGTGTGTGTATATATATATATATATATATATATATATATATATAGCCCTCCTCTAGTGCAATAGAAGTAGTAGTTTCATAGGTCTCAGTTTCCAGCATACTTTGTCATCTGTGTCCTAGGATGAATTTCTTCTTCCGTTTACAGAAACTGTCCCTTTGATACAAGGGCAAGGGGATTCTTAGGTATTTCTCTACCAGTTCTTGTGTTCTGCTTACCTTATCCAACACTGCTATTCCACAACTAAAATGAGAGAGAGAAAAGTTATTAAGATGCACATGATACAGATTTTGTGAAAGAGACGAGCGCAACGGGTATATTAAAGAGGAACATTAAGAATATCCACTAGGCAGAGGTCCAGCTAGAAAGATTAGTATAGTGCGATGAGGGCAGCTCTCAGGGCCGGGTCTCCTGCCAGCCCGCCCACCTGTCTCTATGGGGCAATTCACCCAGTCTCACCTGCCATAACTTCGCTGTTCTCTAAACTGTTGGTATAATATGGGAAACTGCCCATTACTGCCCCAATGCCAGGGGGTGCCATCTGCAGCTCCAACCTCCCCCACACCACAGCCCACACCTTGCAGATGGCATCATAGTTCTTATGATGTTTAGCCCCACACTGGGCCCCATAAGCCTCCAGTCTGGACCCCAACTGGATCCCTCCAATCAGGCAGCCTACTCCACCCTCATTTTGGGCTGTCTCACTCCCTGAACTCTTCCCCCTCTCAGGTGTGCCCCCCTAGCACCTTTGGCCTCACCTCCACGGCAGATCTGAACCTTAGGCCCTCAGTCAGTTCTGGGTGTCCCTCTGGCCCTTTTGACCTTTCTGGTCCTGGCCCCAGCATCAATCAGTCACGGGTGCCTTAAGTCAGACTTCTAAGCATTTAGCTCATTTTCTCACCGAGGTCCACCTTCTCAGCCCTACTATAGGATTACCCACCCAGTTGTGGGAGCTGGAGTTATTAAGGCACCCCAACACACCTTTCACAAGGAAGGTAACTGGCCTGGCATTTCCTTGGGGCTCCCACATCACTAGGAGCCCCACCAGGCCACCCATCCCCAGCAAGGTGCAGTTTTAAGTCATGCTCAGGACCAAGAGCCTCCTAGCCAGCCCCATAAGCTCCTGCCCTTACCTCCTGGGTGCTCCTGATGCAGCTCCACTAGGCAATGCTCCTACCTGGGCAGACAGCTCTTATATACTAGGTTCTCACAATGGCTGCCATCATCAGACATATGCTGGATGCCTGACCCAGCCTTTAAAGTAGCAGGTGCCAACAATGCCCTACCACATATAGCAGTAAATAATGCTAATGCAAAGTGCTTTTCCTACAGAACGACCTTTATGACAACCTCAGGGTATCCTGCAGCAATCTCTAAATTCACCTTCCTACTGAGGAAAGCTTTCAGTTGGATAGGTGACCAAATACTTACTCTGTTTGCTGGCTCGAGTCTATCTTTATTGTGCTAGAATCTGCCAGTGTCTGAGTGCCTGTGGAAATAAAATTGAGAGGATGTGGTTCTGGTTCCTAGGTTGTAAATAAGTAATATGGTTGCTGCCATTCACACTTTCCTTCCAAGTTTAAGTATTGCTGACATGCAGCCATTTCTAGGGTGAAACATGGCAGTTGAAACCAGCATGCAGCAACACACCCTAATTTAGCACAAGAGGCACAGCAGAAATCTGTCTGCAGCCGAAGCTGGAAGTGGGAGATAAGCAATTAGACCAGTTAGAAGTTGGCCAAGGCCCTGGCAAACAGTCCTGCCCCTGCATAAAGTAGCAGTGCTTTTTAAATTGGGAAGGGGCCTCCTTTTCATATCTGAACTGAACAATAGCTCCTCCAGCACCATATCGACAGCTGGCTGGGGTACTGAGTTAACGACTGCCTCTGTAGAGAGCATCATCTACCAAACTGGTGTGTTCTTCATGTGTGGTTCAGAAAGGGCTGATCAGACCTGCTTGATAAACAATATCTTCTCTTTAAGCACTTGCATGGGGCTACTAGGAAGAGGAGCTTTGCATTATGTTACTAGGGTGTCACGTCCTGCTCCTATATTATTCCAGTGCAAATGACTCCAAGATTTCTGTGATGCAGGATGAAGCCCATAGTGAATGGACACCTAAGAATATTCTTTTGCAATGGAGGCAGGCTTTCTCTGCCTGCTCTAAAAGATTTCCCTTGAGCTTTGGAGGCTTGAATACAATGCCGCCTTGACCTGAGTCACCCTGAATTTGGTTTTACAAAACCTTGCCAGCCTCACTTCCCCTCTGTACCTTGGCTACGTTTGGAGATTTCTTTGCTGAAGAGGCTTTCTGATGAAACACCACAGAAGTGTGAGTTGCTTTGTGCTAGGGGCACTTTGAGGCCGGGCTGAAGGTGTTTGTGATGCAACAAAGGCATGCTGTTGTTCCAGGAGACCTGAAATGAAAAGTCAATTGCATTTATTTAAAATAAACTGTTAAATATCAGGAGCCAAAAAGGTTTATGTGCTTGCATATGGGGTTCTTCCATAGATTGTGCAGCCAGTGGATTGTGGGAAATATCAGCGGTGGAGACTGAAGGAGAGGGTGAGAGCAGGTTCTGGGCATAATTTTTCAGAGGTGCCAAGTCCCTGCAGTGGGGTCAATGTGAGGATTTGGTCTATGTGGTGGCGAAGCCGCTGGCTGAGAGGGAGATTAGCAGGCAGGGCGGCTGTGCCACATGCATGAAGATACTTGTTCCAGGTTCTTGTTGACTGCCCTGGGATTAATGCTAGTATGCATGGGGGGGACGTACGCTAAATAATTGCCCTGCACATCCATGCATTATACAGGAGACCAAAGGGCTTGGCCAGGCTTGTGGTGTCTCCAGTTGTTGTTTTACTGTCTTTGGTCGCTCACTGCAGCTTGGTCTTTTAGATAACAATACTGGGTAAGAGGCCAGGGGGTAGAAAGGAAAGAAGCTGAAAGTTTCCTGGCTGCCTGTGTGACACTATAGGAGCTTAATTTTCAGTAAGTGCATTAGTGCCTCTGTGCTGGACTAACGTGGCTAACTACATCTCACTGCTGGTTGGGTACAACATGGAATAGGGCCTGCTGTGTAAAAAGATACGGAAATTAGGGAACAGTCAAATACTTGTTATTGGAGCAGCAGGAGAAAATTAACATCAATGAAGACAACAGCGGGAAGTCATGTTTCTATGTGATCAACTGAAAAAGCTAAATGCTTATGATAGTAGTCTCTGCTTTTTGGTGGGAATGTGAAAGAATATGCACAAGGGGGAGGCCTTAGTTTGCTATCGAAATGGAGGTTTGCACTGTGAGACATGGCTGCAACTCTCTGGGATCAAAACTCAGAATATGGAGTGCAGAAAAAGCATGTAATGAGTGGCATGATAAAATGCCACCCTGGAGGGAGCATATGGAGTCTAATGGCAAAACTGGAACTTTCCTTCCAGTGCTTCCTGGCTCTGATCCCACTCCCGTGTTGACCTCAGTGGACATGGCGTGTCCTCATACAAAGCCACTCAGCACCCATGGAAAGCTTGTGACCCCGTTACCTGGAGGGCTGTGGACGCTCTCAGATCCATCCGTGACCATATGCTCAGGGGAGTCCATGTTCCACCGTCTTGTCCCAGAGGCACTTGTGTTCCCATGGGAGGCCTCCCTTGTTTCTTGTCTGCTTCAGTCCCTAGGTTCCTTCTTCTCAGAAACTCCTTTTGGCGGGAGCTCTGGGACTGCTCCTTCATCTCTTTCTTCCTGTATTGTCCCATACGGCGGCACGTGGTCACGTTGTTTCGCCTCCGCAAGTTCTCGCGTGTCTCTTGCCGCCGCTCACACTTCTCTTCATAACTCTCATTCGGACTCCTACGCCGATGAAGGGTCTTCTCAGGTTGACTGATCATGGTGTCCACCGACGCTACCCTAGCTCTGTCCTGGTGGCTTGGGTGGAGCTCTTCCCTAATGAAAGTAAGAAAGAGAAAGACACTGAAAGTAAGTGTCTTTCTGGACACTTTACAAAATAAACTAGTGCATATGAGACTTTTACAGATGCTGGACGCCAAGTCCAAGACATAGCCACAGTTCTAGAGTGATACCCGCTGCATCCAAGGAATAAGGCTGTGTCATGACATACAGATGTGCTGACAGAAAATAATTGTTGTGTCTCTGTCCCTAAATGCGGATGCATGTGCTAATCTGGGGTACTCCTTGAACTGGAAAATCAACTGCAGTTTCACTCATGTCTTAAGTGACGAGACCTATTCTGCAATCTATTAAATCTTGCCATTATCAAATCCTTGCTGCTATTCTTCTTCTTTGCTTGGCGTTACCCTCCTGTTTCTAGTTATAATCCTTTTTCCTATTTAAATAAATAGACAAGCAACAACA